CTAAAGCTGTGTACAATCTCAATCTCTTCACCATCCATCCTGATGCTGCCGATTGGTCCAGTGGTGAGAATCTTTGTCTTCTTGACATTGAGGTAGGTGGTTCAAATCTACCCAGCGGCTACTTGGAATAAGATGGGTAATCTCTTCTTGTGTGATTAAATGCCTCTGAAAACCCACCGGAAGGTCAGGCATGAGTCAGTTCTGACAAGAAACAACAGACAAATGGCAAGACTAGAACTTGAAGGTAGAAAACTACCTGCCTGAAGTGAGAACTCAGAAAAAGAGGCTCAACATCTGACTCAGGAGAAAGACTCAGAGCTTTTTATAGATGGTAGAACACACATGAGTCAGCAAAGGAGGAAGCTAATATAAACCTGGGCTGGACGAATAGAAATATCAAGACTGGGACTAAAAAGGCCTCACTGTGTACTTCCCTGGTCAGCCCATACGTACAGTGATGTGTTCAGTCCATCTGTGTACTTCAGGAAGGCCAGGGACAAACTGAAAGGTGCCTTCAAAAGGGTGGGAAAGGTGATGGAGAGACCCAACCGTAGAAGAAAATGTGGAGGAGTAACTAACTAGAAGAAAGAAGAAATCAGCTTCCCCAAAACATCAGCCATCAAAATTCTCGCTAAGCACAGGCCTACGCTGACACTCATGGGGACTCCATGACTTGGCAGCAACATGACAGCAAGTAGTCACCATCACAGCCATCAGCCATAAAACAAGAACACGTGAGGAGCCCACAAAACCTCTCCTACTGCACGTGAAAGGTCAGGGGGGGAAGCAGGCAGCTTTGCTCGGTGTAGCCCCAGGAACAAAAGTAATCAATGCAAGCGATGTTGTTGTTAGGTATTATCGAATCGAGTAGGACCCATAGCAACCCTATGAATAACAGATCTGAACCCCATCCTGTCCTGTGTCATCGTCACACTTCCTGACCCCTTAGAGCCCATTGCAGCAGTCACCATGTCAATGCACCTGGTTGAAGATCTTCCTCTCTTTCTCTGACCCTCTACCTTTCCAAGTATGATATGCCTCTCCAAGGGACAGTACCTGCTAGCAATGTGCTCAGAGAGAACTGGTGGCCTAGTGGTAAGAAGCTATTCTACAATCCCAAATGCACACAGTTCGAGGCCACCAGCTGCTCTATGGGAGAAGGATGGGCAAACTCCTTCTGTGC